GCTTTTAAAAAAAAAAAAAAAAGCAAAAATTGTGTTAGCCATAATATCATTAATATATATAATATTATATGTTTCTTTTCCTTTAATTACCTGATATTGGGCAAAATTTGATTATAAGCGATACCCACACCTTTGGTTACGAATAACAATTTTCCCATAGATGTCAATGAGAGAACCAGTAATATCTATCACTTGTAATTAATACAAATCAGCCTGTAGACATATCCCATTCAGTGCTTCAAAAACTGTTATATGCCTTTATTGTCAGACACTAAGAGCTGGATTATCTTACAAAAGAAAATTTTAGTAACCGAATTTTAGTTCACTATATTGACACCTACAACAAAACTGCTATTTAAATACAATGTACTGTATATGCTCATTTCTTATGACAGAATTTAGCCCTAAGTGTATTAACAGTGATTTAAGTTTTTACACAAATCCAAAATTGACATTCGAGTAAAATAGGTTGTAGGGACTCGTTCACTAAGTTGTAATTTCTGTACAATTCACAACTGAACTGGAAAAACTAGCTCAAATGAGGAGGCTGAACTTAATTTTGTTTTTCCAGTTAAAATATTTTGGCGCAACAAGGGGAGATACTCTTTGTAATTCTATGGCTTAATTAATCATTTCAAATATGTGTCACTTTAAATTTCACACGCAAATAAATCTACTATTGGTATACCTAACCATAATTTGATTGCAACCTTTATAAATGATGCTGAATTGTTCGATGGAGTACTCTTGCCACCGATATATATATATATATATATATATATATATGCAGTTTATAGGTTATATATATGCATGGGTTATATAAATGCAGTTTATGGGTTAGATTACTGTGTGTTGTGCTGGGTTTTCTAAATTACTCTTACTTAGCTTTTAATTAAATAAGAATTAGTTTTGCACCATAAACCCACATTTACTGTTCGTCCATTACAGTCCATGGTGTTTACCTGTTTGATCCAAAAATACTGCTATATGTGATGTAACAACTTGAGGTTTTGTGAGTTCTAATTAATCAGTTACATTTCCACAGTAGAAAGATGACTATTGAACTAAGACTCAGAAAAGCCCTCTGTGTGCACATAAAGCATTGATTAAGTGATAAGCTCAACAGTGAGTCAGTGAAAATGCTAACTGGATAAGACACTGTAAATCTAACGGTATACGCTGCAAAGCATTGAAATTTTCAGCAAATCCAGAAACCTCAAATGTCTGTCTTTTTATTATTTTTAATTTATTATTTTGGCATTATATTAATGCATTATCTGTATTATACATTAAAAAGAATAGGTTGGCTTGAGCCTGAAGTGTCCCTTTAAGCATTAAATTAGACATCTATACTGCATTAAGTATGATACATTTTATCTAATATTGTTTAATATATCGCTGCATATGTAATATTTCACTTGCATTATTAAAGGAAAGGAAAGAGCTTAAATGTACATGAAAATTACTCATCAAATGTTGGTAATGAATGAATAGGACATAACTGTTGCCAATAGTGACCACTATTTAACCCCTTAAGGACACATGACATGTCTGACATGTCATGATTCCCTTTTATTCCAGAAGTTTGGTCCTTAAGGGGTTAAACTAGTGACCTGCCAAGTAAGAGAATTGAAATAGTTCTTATCATTTGACAAATATAAATAAAATCAGACTATATGCAATTCTCTCAGTTATATTTTCTTGGCAGAAAAAACAGACCTATTTTTTGTAATTTAGTCAAATGTGCATTTAAACAATAACAAATATATTGAAAGTATAACAGTTCAACTCCCATTAGGTGCATATTATTTTATACTGAGAATACAGTTATTTGGCATAAATCTATGCAGGAAAACCTTTATTTTATGGCTGCTTAATGCATTCTTTTTGTCTGAATAGAAATAATTGCATCATATAAATTCAAAGTAATAAACAGCTCACTGTATAAAAACTAATTAAAATTTTGTAAGTAAATGCAGAGAATTAGTTAAAATTACTCATATAGTTATTAAAATGAAAAAAATAGGGTCATTATTACTCCTACTGTTTTTCACATACAATCTTTGTTTACACTGTGCCCAAGTGTTAAATGGCTGGATAGTACATTTGCATAGGATAACCAGCATATAAGGCATCATTTGCACGTCTGCAAGTACACTTGAGTAACTATAATTACACGTGACACCAATTACTCTATTACTTTGTATTAAATTATAATGGAAAATTCCACTAGAGAATTGAAGCCTAATTGCATCTTCATTTGCATAATTTTGCATATTAATTACATCTCAGATGAATAATAAATTTCAGCAGATTTTTAATTTATGCGTAGACACAAAAACAAGTGAAAAAATAATTTACTATAAAATACAGCAGCTATGGTAGGGGCATTCAACTAATTTTGCTTAGTTTAGCAAAACAAAACTTCGTTTGTTTAACATAGCGTCTCTACGATGATTGCTATTTATTGCGCAATATGTCAGTCGTACATTGAGCATAAGGGTGTTTTCCCTTAATGAAAAACACAGTATTCAATTACAGCATTTCAAATATGTGAATTTACATTACTGGGAAATTTTAGAATTGACAACAGTATTTAACATGAAACATAATCTAGATGGATTTATAATTTTTTTCTCATTTTAAATTGGTACCTTTCTGTGCTGCGGCAAAATATAATAATCATGATACAATCAAAGTGATTGTATCTCAGTTAAAAATAAAAAATAAACATTATACATATAAATATAAAGATCTCTAGCACTCTTCAAAAAATGTATGTACCAAATTTGCTTAGGTGCTTACCCATACCTATATAACTATAGCAACAAACTGGCAGCAGTTACAGGACTTTCAATCGTGAAATATACATATTCCATTATTCATTCCCCCCAAAAAATCAAAGTGTCGACCCTATAGGGTTATCATTTTGATAATTGACTCAATGCTTTCTTATTGGAATTTATAATGTGTGCCTGGTACTTGAAGCACATGAGTATTAGGTCCCTTATGCTCCTCTATGAAGAGCTGATTGGATTGGTGTGGACCCTCGTGGAGGAGACTGGGCCTAGACTGTGACATTGGTGGAGGAGGAGATGTGAGAATCACAGAGGGAGCCACAGCACTGGATAAGTACTTTTCCTTCTTGGGGGGGTGACACACCTGTTTAGAGCTATGAGGAGGTAAACAAAAAGCCTTAGAAATACTAATTTGTATTCCTAACAATAAAGTGTAGTGTTTCTTTAATGCTAGAGAGCATTCCGATTGGCTTAACAATATATTTATGTTTAATATAAGATATTAAACATAGAAAACACTTATTATTATCAATATATTTACCAATTATTTAAGAGGGGCTTTCTATACAAAGCATAAGCCAAATATTATGAGACTAGCCTCAATGCTGCATAGGGCGCTATAGAACTGGAAATGCATATTTGATTAATTTGATTGAGTGATCGGAATGATTATATGATTAATTCACTACTTTAACCCCACTCACTCCTTGAATTATGTATGAAATGAAATTTAGTCCATAACACCTCCCTCACCTTCATTTAGACCCCTGGAATGGTTACTATCCCGTGGAGGGACACATGTCTCTGCCAAGAGCCATTGGTCATTTATTTAATGTCTACAAGTGGGCTGAAAATGTCAGCTACCCTCACCCTTCCAAACAGTAAAGTAAGTGAGAAGGTGGGGTTAATGGACTCTCCAATTTCACTATCAGCATTATGTTAGCAAGAGATTCATAAAGTTTCCGATATCACTTTTTAATTACCTTTATGTGATTTTATGTTATTATTATTATTATTATTATTATTATTATTTTATTATTTATGTAGCGCCAACAAATTCCGTAGCAACTGTATTTACTGTATGCAGTTGGTGAACAATGTGCTCAATTGTGATATACTTTTTTTATATTCTGTTGTCATTCTCAATAACCAGCAATGCAAATAATACATTCAGAATCCTAAAAACACTTGTAAGCAGTACATTTTTACCAATTTAACAAATTTATATGACAAAAATTTTACTTTTGTATTTTATAAGTATTTCAGACCCTGTGTTAAATAATGCAATGTAAGGGACACTGTACACAATATAAAGATTTTCCTTCTCAAACATTTCTATAAAGGAGGAGCAAATAAATTAAAATATGTGTGTATTTGCATATTTTCCATATATACGTTTGTCTGGGAAAAAAGGAAAGTATACACAAAATTGCAGTTTTATTATATGTTTGAAACCAAGGGGAAATGCTTCCTCTTGGATAAATAGGAAGGAAAAGTAATGGTCTAAAGAAAGGGGGTATATCCACTAAACAACTGGTGAAACAATCCACACCCTAGGTTGAATAGATAGGCAATAAAAGATAAAAATCAAGGAGAAACCAGTCTAATTGCTTTAACCAGGAGTGGATACCAACACCCAAAGAGTATTTAAAATATAAATATATATATAAAAGAATATATAGATAGATAGATGGGTTAACTTGTAGCATACATAGTATCAATGCACCATGGATAAGTAAAAACAGACCTTGTATCTCAATAGATGAATATACACTGTATCAGTGTATATTTAAATAGTCCACAGTTTCAGTTTAGATAATAAATAAAAATTATAATTTAGAGATCAGTCCAAAAGTGTCCTTTCACTGTATGCTCATATACATACAATCTGGCTTGTATACCCTCTATGGAAACAGCAGGGGAACTGGCCGATGTGAGCTATATATGCTCTAGTAACAAACTAGTATTTTGATCAATAATAGTGTGATACATGAAAATTACAAAGAAGTATTATATATGTAGAAGTGTGAGATAGACAGTTCTACACCTGTTATCAGTGAAAATCCTGAAATGTTATCTTCTGTTGTCAATCATTGAACTGTACAGTACATAGTTCAGAGGAATAGAGGTCTTCTTGTAAAAGACTTTATTATACTAAAAAAAGTATACCTGTATAATATATAAAAAAATAAACAATCGCTCACAGATAGCATAAAAAAGGGAACCTTCCTTTGGTGTCTTCCACCCAGCAGTCTGTATACTCTAGAAATGCTGTCTCATCAGAGCCGGCTTCAGAGGCAACTTCAGAGTCCTTGTTGACAAATGCTCGTCGGGGAGATCCACCGCGTGCGATCCACTTTGCTTCGGTATGCGTTCCACTGTGAGTGTGTGAACAGATGCAGCCTTACGCGTTTCGTGATGTCCTGTCACTTCATCAGAGGAATGCATCTTTCGTGTGCCGATGGATTTATATACCCCTTCGGCAATCTTAGCTTTCAATATGGTTAACCCTTTCATCACTTAATAACATTTAACTCCTAAGTGACATGTGTAACAAAAACTTGCATAATACATACATATAATCAATCTAAAACCAAAGAACATCACTTTAATACATGTAATTAATGTATTAAAACCATTATAGTTTTAAATATGATCAAAAATGAAAAATAGACACACAATCATTAATTAATAAAATTACAATAAAATAGTAGAATTCTCTCTGCATAGGTGATTAAATACAGAATAAACAATAAATTAATAATGAGCAACAGAGATACACATCACCCTTCATGACCATATATTCATAAAAATAAAGATATCATATAAAATCTTAGAAAAAAGCAACAATCAATCTCTTAAAAAGGCCTCTTATATAAGAAAAAAAGGGAATATATAAAAAATGAAAAAATGAAATAAAATCAAATAAAATGTATTTCTTTATGTGATACTAAGAAGATTGAATATACAAAGACATCCTCATTTTTGTGGGAAGAAAATAGTTTCTATGAGATACCCCTTATTTCGTGTACTACTAAACGATGTACCATCACCACTTAAAAAATTCTGAAAAAACTAGACACCTTTAATGACATAGGATCTGAAATCGTATTCAAACAGAAAGACAGAAGAAAATACGCTTTAATTAATGTATAAAAGAGAAGGTAATTAGACTTATAGAATAATAGAATGAAAGATATTAAGAATAAAACATATAGAGATAATGTGGCTCAATGCCACTATTATCATTCATGGGATTTTATAAAAATGCATTCAACTCAAAGTCCAGATTCAAACCCTTAGGTTCTAAAGTATCCAACTGGAAAATCCATTTAGCTTCTGCTCTATCTAGAGCTTTTTCAAGATCACCCCCTCTCCAATGTAAAGAGACCTTCTCTATGGCCATAAATTGTAATTCACCTGGATCACTTGAGTGAGTGATATGGAAATGTCTGGAGAGGTTATGTGTTAGGAGACTCTTTTTGGTATTTCGGATATGTTTAGCTACCCTGATTTTGAATGCTCTCTTAGTCCTGCCAATGTAATATTTACTGCAGGGGCATATCAAAAGATATATTACTCCACTTGAATTGCAGTTTAGATTTGCCTTGATCTTGAAAGTCTCAATAGTTGTTGGATGTTTAAATTCATTAATATGAGGTATTTGTGTTGTGTTGATTTTACATCCCATGCATTTCCCACATTTACGGAATCCCATTAATGTTGATCCGGACTGTTTCATTTTCTCTTCCTTCAACGTTGGGGCCACCATTGTTTTTAAATTAGGTGTCCTGGAGTATATAATATTTGGTTTACTTCCCAGGATCTAGTCTAGTAGAGGGTCACCTTTAAGTATATTCCAGTGTTTCTTAAGGATCTTGCTCAATTTAAAGGACTGGTTACTATACTGAGTAATGAATGCTGGAATCTCCATATTGGTTCTGGTTCTTTGATTTTTTTCATTAGTGTATCTTCTCTTGGTGTTTCAATTGCTTTCTTGAGAGCACCCTCTGTTCCATTTCTGAACAGTTCTGCCTAATTCTGTATGGAATGTTATTCAGCCATGTCTTTTTATGATAGCTATTAAAGGGTATGAAACTGTTACAGTCCACTGTTTTTTTTTTAAGTTTTTGTATTGATGATATTATCTTTAATGTAAATTTCTAAGTCCAGAAATTCTACTGCTTCTTTCGAATGTTGAAATGTGAATTTCAAATTATATGGATTGAAATTCAAATACTGCTTGAATTGTTCTAAAGCCATCAGATCACCTTTCCAAATAAAAATGCAATCATCTATGTATCTCTGCCATAGGACCAGGTTTGCCACCGCAGGGGAGTTGTTCCAGATGAATTAATCTTCCCATTTACCCATAAAAAGGTTTGCATAGCTCGTGCAAACCTGGTACCCATAGCATTCCCTTCTATTTGCAGAAAAAATTCACCCTCTGAATAAAATAAATTGTGGCTTATAATAAACACTATACACTCCACCAGGTAATTGATTTGGTCATTTTTTAGCTCTGAATGGACCGTTAAATTGTATTGAACTGCTTCGCAGCCCTGTAGATGTTCTATTATTGTGTACAATGACGTCACATCTGCTGTTACCAAAATATAGTCTTCTTCCCATTGTACATCTCTCAGAATCTGAATAATTTGAGATCTTATCTAAGATAAGATTTTAATTTACTAACAACTGGTTGAAGAAAATGGTACACATAGTCAGAAAGGTTTGAAGTTAACGAGCCTATCCCTGAAATTATTGGTCTTCCTGGAGGATTGGTTAACCTTTTATGAATCTTTAGTAGGTGATAAAATACTGCTAATTTTGGGTGTTTACATAGAATGTGGTCTGATTCCCTTTTTGTTAATATCCCACGCTCTTTGCCCATATTCACTAATTCCACAAGTTCATCTATAAATGATTGACTTGGATTCTGCTTTAGTTTCAGATATGTATCTGTATCACTCAAGAGTCTTCAATTTTCATTTTCATAGTCTTGACTATTCATGATTACTACTCCCCCTCCTTTGTCCGCTGCCTTTATGGTGATTTTATTATCTTGCATCAATACTTTCAAAGCTTTTCTCTCCTTCTTCGTGAGATTGTCCTTAGGATCCTTAGTATTGCTCCTCATGGATCTTAGATCCTTATCAACCATCCTTTCAAAAACTCTGATGTTATCACTTTTCATTTGTTGTGGGTAGAATGTTGATTTAGGATGGAGGTTGGTATGTACGTAATCATCCTCCATTCTTTCCTTAGTATATTTATTTTCCAAAAAGAAACATTTTACAGTAAGCTTTCTGATGAACTTATGTACATCGATAAACATGTTAAATTTTAGGTTCTGTGAATTGGGAACAAATTTCAGTCCCTTTTTAAGGAGTCTACAGTTAGTTCGTGATCTGATAAATTAAATAGTTCATGATCTGATAAATTAAATAGGCTAGTAACTTCTCTCTCCATGTTTTTTCAATGCTGTTCTTGTCTCCTCTCTTTTCTCCAGGAGATTCCCTAAAAAAGATACCTGAGATTTCTGATGTGTATGACGCTCCACAGGTTTAGCTTGTGTAGGTAAGTGGCGTTGTGGAACTCTGGAATCATGGTTGGTAGTTCTAGAATCTCTGGTATTCCTCCTCTCATTGTATGGAGTTCTTTCTTGTACATTTTCTCGTCATTCATTCCACTGAGTATTGTATCTCCCTCTTGGTGTAGAGTGTTTGTACTGAGTGTAATATCTTCCTTTTGGTGTAGAGGGCTTCTGATGGAATCTCCTATTAGTTTCCCTGATGGGATAAGATGTATTATAAGTTCTTCTTTCATTCACTTTTCTCCCCTGTTGTAAAGGTGGGATTGGATTTCCTTTATAATGTGGTATATAGTTAGGATTATGCATTTTCCTAGACCTATGCCAGTTTCGTTGAATCCCTTTTTCATAATCTTCCTTATCTCTGACTATTTTCTTTCTTTTTCCTTCTCTTATCTTAATTTCCAAATCTTTCACTCTTTTCTCAATTTTATCTAACAATTCTGCAAATGAACCATCTTCCACTTCTGGGGTGCTCTCCAATTTAAGATTCTCAATCTCTATTTCAATTTGTTCCAATTCCTTTTTCTTTTCATTGATCAGAAACATGATGAGTAGCAGAGATTTATTATATGTTTGTTTGCTAGCTATGCATTTCATGTTTCAAATAAATGTTGTTATATTTTTCAAACAAAAAATTCTTAGTAGTGAAGTGCTTAAAGGGAAATTCTAAGCACCAAAACCACTACAGTTTTACTTAGTACATTTCATGCAAAGAATTCTTGGATTGCACTCATTCTTTTAGACCATCTCACCCTCAGTGCTTGCAGTTTTAGATAAATATGGAAGAGAAAGTCTGTTTAAGTGATTGGACACCCTTTTTTTGTTAGGCTGCTTAAAAATAGTTTGAAAAAAGTGGTGGAACAGCAACTGAACACTTTTTACTAGATATAATATATAATAATAATAATAATTTGCAATTTTTATAGCGCTTTTCTCCCTGTGAGACTCAAAGCACTTTACAAGTATACAAACATAACAACATAAAAGTTATGAGTTTTTGAAGGTCAGCTGAGCAGACTGAATGCCTGACAGAAGTGGTGGGTCTTTAGCTTTTTTTCAAAGTCTGTAAGGAAGGTGCCTCTCTGATTGTGCACGGTAAAGAGTTCCAGAAGGTAGGGGCAGCTTGGCTGAATGCCCTGGAACCTGACTCTGTCATTATTCTTGGCACTGGCAGGAAGGATTTGCTGGCTGACCGAAGTGAACGGGATGGAATGTAGTGTGTCATGAGCTCTTGTTTAAGGCTTTGAAGGTTAGCAGGCCAATTTTAAAATATTTTCGCCATTTAATTGGACGCCAATGCAGGGAGCGGAGAACAGGTGTTATGTGGCAGGAGCGAGTTTGGTCAATATAATCTGTAGTTTGTATGGTGCTTAGAACAATTCTTTAAGTTTGGTTCTTGAATAAATGAGGGGAGATGTGAAGACAATATACTTTTCATGGATGTTGTAAGAAAGCAGCCATTTAAAATAATAATAATAATAATAATAATAATAATAATAATAATAATAATAATAATACCATCTGCTAATATAGCATTGCATCTAAAAAAATACTGACAGTTTACTATAATCTACTCCTGTTTTAAATGTGTCAGTTTACCATCTTACATCACATCACCAGGGCATTTAGGACATGTGCATGTGCCCTGCAATCTTTCACACTTTATTTAAAAAACAAAGAATTTTAGTGTATTGAAAATCAAATTTCAATGTCTCAAAGCATACAATGAAAATGAAATATTATATTTTAAGAGTCTTAGAGACAATACAAATAAATAAAATATTACAGGCCTGTTCTAGTGAGACAT